CTGCTTTCCATCCCCCTAACTGTAGACCAAATTCTGCCTGCCTAGCACTTGGATCCGAGGATTTTCATGTTGTATGTATGCTCCTCTGCTCTTTGCATGTGCATAACTGTAGGATTACCTTCCACCTTTAGCTGTAAGTCCACCCTCACTCAGTGACAAAGTGAAGGCAGCAATTAAAAATAAAAATGCAATCTGTATAACCACAAGAGGAGACAAGACTTCAATCAGGATAAATTAGAAGGCCCAGAATGCATTAAAAAAAAAGAAGGAAAGTGAAAGATAGCAAGGAAAAATCCATGGCTGGCAGGGAAAGACAGTAAGAGGAATATTTTAAGTGAAATGACAAAGTCTGCATCCAAGCAAGTTGCAGTACCACCTGCAAAATGTGTGGGAAGCCTTGTCAGTGCTGGGTACCTCCTTCAGAGCAATATGTCAGCGCTAGTTTGGCCATTGCAAGCAGTGAGTACATACAGTGGCCCAGCTTTGGCCAGCGCTAGTTTGGCCATTGCAAGCACAGTGAGTACATACAGTGGCCCAGCTTTGGTTGTTGGTCCTGACTTGTGATCTCTTTCCACGGCTCTAGCAAATGTTTCAGTTAATGCAAATCTCTGGTTCACCTGATTCATTGCTGATTTGCACCATCCTGGCCACAGTGTGTACAACTGCTTCTGCCTTGCAAGTTTACTGCATTCTGTTTCAGTGTTATCTTAGGGCTAATTAAAACCTTTACATCGGTCCCCTGGGTTGCAGGTGCTATTTTAACTTTCTCTTCTCTACAGAAGACTGTGAAAGACTTTGGGCACTTAAGTTGAATGTGAGAGACGAACATGACTGTTCTCTTGCAGTAGGGGCAGGGCAGGCTGTAATCTGGTCCTCACGTGTGAAGGGAGAGTGAATCTTTAATAACTCCAATCATGCATATGTTAAGTATCTAGCATATGACCACAATACTATAATTCCTATTCTGCACCTTACTGTCAGATTCTATGTGTCTTTGTGACCCATCAGACACATTCATCATAATTTTCGTCAGATATTACACCTGTCTCACCCTTTTTTCCTTTAAGGGGGGTGGGAATTAATGTCGTGTCCTCATCTTACTGCTCATGGTCATCGCTATAAAACTCTACTCTTGCTCTCTTCTCCTCTCAAAGTGTGGAGGTTTTTGCTTGTTGTTTCTGGAAATCCAGAACTGCTGTTGATTTGAGTATCTCTGTCCATTTGCTGTGTGTGAGAAGCAGAACCGCCCCGACTTGGCAATCACTCCTTTTGCACTCTGTGTCTTTCCAGCAAGCAGTTTGAATACATAATACACAGTGACTTCTTGGGTCCCTCCCAGACAATTGCCTTTGACAGCAGGTGTGCCTTTCTGCATTGCAGATTGCTACACATCTCACTCTGTTTAAAGGCAACAGTGCTCCTTGGAGCCCTTACAATCATGTTGTGAATTTGCTTCTGGCTGCCTCCTACAACACAGGGATCTATCCTGTGCTGGAACTGGCGGCGGTCTTCTGCAAACTACCAAATAGCTGTCTGATTAAATTGCTCCACTGCATCAATTAAACTGACCAACAAAGAGGCTTTTCTGATCCATATATGGCAACAGAAATGCATCTCTGATTTGGTCAGTGTACGGCAGCGTTAGCCTCTTGCAAAGGGGAGGGAACAAACAACTACACCTCTCTTGTGCTTCTGTAGCAACATGCTATAGTCTCATTTAGAAAGATGATCCTTGTATCAGTTTGTTGGCAGGAGAATCCTATCATGCAGGACATGCATTAGAGTTTTTTCAATGTTATTTACAAAACACATCCACTCAAAGCCACGTGGATGGCAGCCCAAGAGTAAAGGGATCACACTGCTGTTTAATGAGAGACCTGCAGTGTGCAGTAAGTCACTGCTTATTGTTTCCTTGCTTAGGTCCCAGTCAAGACTTACCTTTCCTTAATGCAAGCATTTCCTGTCTTCACCAAGCATGTAAATTGCTGGTTTTCAAACTTAATTTATTCAGGTACTATAACTGGCACCAAGTGCCATTTTTGGCAGCCAAAACAGGTTACCAGGTTCCTGCTCCTTTAATTCGCCAAAGCAGGAGCTGAACACTATGCTTCCACGTCCCATCTGAACAAACCAGAACCCCGGCTTTCTTTGTGTAAGATCTGTCTGGGACCTCTTTCCCCATTCCCATCCCTTCCTCTGCAGCACATCCCACTGTACCAGGTCAGTCCTACCTCCATGAGCTTTCCAGCCTGAACCAGAAGTGCCAGCTAGCATGCCGCTTGTTGGAGGAGATGCCTTTGCACAGCCCATGTGCTTCACAGCACAATAAGTTGTTCTTGGCTGCCAGCAAGAATAGTAGCACATCTGTAGATACTGCAGTATTTAGGGATGGTGTTAAGTAAATAGAGTGCTGAGGACTTGACACCCACTTTGTATGCATTTTGGGGAAGGGGGTGGTTATTGTGGATTAGCTCTAGCTGTGCACTGTGATGCCTATTTGCAGCTGCAGTATCCTAGATGCGCTCCAGAAGTGCATCTTCAAGTTTAGCTTTGTGGGAAAAGAATGCATTTTATGAACTTCAGTGTGAATCAAAGCACAGAAATTGCAAATGATGGAGCATCTCTTCAAAAGCACACTCCCAAGGTGAACTGAAACACTAGCGTAGATGCACCCATATTGCCTGGCTAACGAGGGGGTCCAATCCTGTTCTTCCTATGGTAGGCAGTGTCTGGAGACCTTTCCTGCATAGCATTTGGGGAAAATTCACAGATCACTTGCAGTAGCAATATCACAGTTTGGGAATTTTATTTAAAAGAACTTTATGGTACGCTAAGATACTGGGCACTGAACAGCTAAGAATGGAGGGGAATGAGAAATACACAGTATCAGTATAATATTTTTATCCATTTCATGTAGACAGCTTTCCAAGAATAATTATCAACAGAGAAGCCTCATCTGAAGGATTTCTGTGAGCAATATTTTATGTCTTTTATTAAAGTTCTGGAATAAAAGTAAATAAAAATAGTTGCTAATAAAAATTGTATATGGCACAAAATATCACATTATGAGGACAAGTCACCTTGAAGAAATATAATGATCCGTTTGAAAAGCTTTAGAAAAGAGCTGTAAGAGTAAGTCTCAAGATCTTAAAACCAAAAGACATTGCAGCAACAGACAGAAGGAACTGGTCTATTACGGAGAATTCTCATTAAGGAGAATTTAAAAAGCATCCTCAAGATCTGTAAATGATTAAATGTTGAGACACTAGAGATAAGAAAAAAAATACTGAATCTAAAGCTGCACAAACTCAGATGATAGATAAGACACAGACTTTAGCAGTGACAGGGCTTAATCATTGGAACAATTTGCTGTGCATTATAGAGGATTTTCTATGGCTTGAAATCTGGAAAACATGCTGTATCTGCACCAGCAACACTAGGCTCATCGCAGGACTCGCAGGAGGTTTCTGACCTGGTACTGCAGGAAGTTGGAGTATATTATCTAAGTGGTACTTTCTGAACATAATATCCATGAAACCTGCACATATGATTCTTACCATTACAACCATAATAACAATTAAATATGATGGCTTTCTCTGATGACTGCTTTGTCACTAGCTGTGATGATTTTCACTAACCCAATCACCCTTCCAGGATGTGTTAAGCACTCATTCATTATAGGAACCCTTTGAAAATGTAACATTAAAAGCTAAGTTGACATGGGGACTTGGGCACCTAACCATCATTTTAGGCAGCATAGTTCAAAATGTTTATCTGCAAAAGTCCTCTTCTAATCCCACAGGTGCATAGCCTCCATGGGTGTCTAAATCCTTACTTGTAAATTCCTTCTCTGGGCATGGGCGAGGCAATCACCCACAACAGGGTAACTGTCTTTCAGCCTGTGAGGATGAGCCTTGTCCAGTGCAAGTGTTCAATGATACCAGCTGGTGTGAAGCACATCAGCAGTGCTGTTGAACCCCTAAAACATGATCTAGCAACCATGGAAGTCAGCCCCCATTCTCCCCACTGGTGGAGGTTTGTCTGGCAATCTCTCTACATAGCCCCTTCAAAAGCATTGTTCAGAAAGAGATTGAAACCATAATCCATGCAAATAAACAATCAAATCCCATTTGATTACATCAGATGAAACTTGCCAAAATCTCTTGCTTTTAGTAGCCTTCTGCTTATTGTCATACTATCTTATGGCCTTCTCTGAGAAGCAACAAGAAATCTATGGCTCTCTTAATTAGATTTGGTCCAGATTTTATCACTAACTGTTAATGAAATCGTCCTATGGCAGAGCTGGTTTAAAAGCAGACCTCTGCTCCAAGTCTAAGTCACTTGTATTTTTATAACTCTTTACATTCCTGCAGCCTTGTCAGATCTCAAAGCTGAGCTGGGTAAGGATCGAAGGGGAGAGCTGTGCTTGTGGGGGGCATCATTTGAATGAGAGCATGGTCCCTTATCACGGCTGTTCATCAGCATTCCCATGGTGTTCTGAAAGCAAAGATTGGTGACTAAACTGTAATGAAGTAATTGCTTTCTAATTTCTAAATTCCCCTGCAGTTCCCCTTAGATTGCAGCATTGGTTTTCACACCCTAACTTTTTTCTGGTTTTGCTTTGGTTTTTGGTTTTTTTGGGTTGTTGTTTGGTTTTTTTTTTTTACAGTCTACTAAACATTACTATTCAAGGGTTATTACCTTTCATTTCAGTTAGGAACGTGATTGGTGTGGCTCCTCCTTCCTTTTAGCTCCAGCCTCCTTGGGAAGAGCTACAAAAACTCTTCTTCAGTTCTTATCACTCATCTGTTTTGGAACATCTTTCAGGTGTGGATGCATCTTGTTCTGCTCCCCATTTCTAGGGAGTGAGCTCTGCATAAGGAGTATGTAAATTCCTCGCAATGCTATTCATCCAGCCTGTTGCCTTTTAAAACCTACGAGGGAAGCACAGAAAATCCAAACTTGTTCACTTTGCTAAACATTTTTCTTTTCACTTCTAGGTCCTCCTATTGAGCCCCTGGAGCCAACCAGGCCTTTACCGACTCTTCCTGTTCGCAGAATTCACTCCACTTCGGAAAGAAAACATGAGAGACAGCCAAGACCTCCTAGTCCTCCTCTGGGTGATAGGCCATCTCCTCCTGGCACGAAACCTAACATCTGTGATGGCAACTTTAACACCGTGGCTCTCTTTAGAGGAGAAATGTTTGTTTTCAAGGTACTAAAAATTCCTGCTTACCCAGGAGTCTTTCTTTAGTCTTATTGCTGGAAAGGATTAATAGAAGTATAAGGTAGTGAGATTTGAAATGTCTGTGAAAATAGCTGTTCCTCTGAGGCTGATGAATGAGCAATATTAGAAGGAAATGTAAGCAGATTGGCTCTGTAATATTTAGAAACAGTGCCTGATGGGATTCACAAAATGCCCAGGCAGCCTGTGCACCACAATGTGAACTGGAGGCACTGGCAGAGAGTTCAGACACCATCAAACTCAGAGAGGAGCCACCTATAAAGCCAGAAAGCAATACCAGTACCTAACCAGCGATTAAGCCTCGTTGCCTCCAGAGATGGCATGCATCGAACCTGGGCTGCAGGGAGCACTCAGCCTACCTGAAGCTCTTGGGGAGTTTGAGTCAACCTTGCTTGTAAACTACACCCAGGGAGGAAGGAGAGGCTTTGCTCAATAGCGCACGTTACAGTGCCTTGAATATGGAAACCCATGGTCCCATTGCCAAAATACCTGTGGCATTCACTCTGCCCAATGGGTGTGAATGTGGAGAGGGATATATTGAAGGTCATTAAATGGACAAACCACATCAGTTGCAGAAAATGCCTGAACTGAAAATAGTCGAAGGCTGGGACCGTATCTGGGAGAAGTCTCACAGGCTCTGTCCTGCTCTTACTCATCCCTGAGCATCCACTATGGCTTTAACTAATGATCTCATATCTTAAGGGATATTTAATAACTCCTTTGTGCCTTTGGATGTTGTGTGCTTCACACAGTCACCAGGTAACGTTAAGGCTGTATGGCTCTCCTGGGGTCTGATAGGTGAGCACCAGTTATACCAGGACAAGTGTGACACCTCAGTGACGAGACACACAGAGAGGTCACTCACAGATGAGTTCATAACGCTTATAACTGTGGACTTGCTTCCCCCTGCTCCTTTTTCCTCTCCTTCTTTCCACCCTTTTTCACAGCACCAGCAATCAACTTGTCACCCTTTTGGCTGCCATCTTCCCCACGAAGCGCTTCCCTCACTGGAGACAGTGTTGGGCTGGGTTGGAGCTGTCATCTGAACCAGGACTTCTGTCTTTAATGGTTACGGGGCCTAGGCAGGGATTAGTAATGCTTGATGCTGGACGCCCAGCCTGATTTGACTGCAAGATAAAAATACTCAGTCTGAAGACGCTTCTGGTTTTCTCAGGATCGCTGGTTCTGGCGTCTGCGCAACAACCGAGTGCAGGAGGGATATCCCATGCAAATTGAGCAGTTCTGGAAAGGTCTCCCTGCAAAGATTGATGCGGCCTATGAGCGGTCTGATGGAAAATTCGTTTTCTTCAAAGGTACAGTACATTTCAGTACAAGCCTACCACACCTGCCTCACAACACACTCTTCTTTTATGGCATGAAGATGGTGAAAACAGGTATGCTGCATCCTTGTCCTTTTCCAAGAGGACACTTCAAGCAGCCACTAATCCTTAAAATATAGTTTAGCATGGGCTGGCCTTGCCAGACAATCTCTGTATAAAGCTAATATTGATTAGTGGAAGCTGGCTTCCATGTGATAACAAGAAATAGCTCCTGTTTCCCAGGGAGTGTCAGTCTCCTGCCTATCTCCTTGAACATGTTTCGGCAGGGCATTAGGGCCTGTCCAGGTATAGGGCACTCCCAAGCCACATTTCTGGACAATTGTCTCCTAAAGAGACAAAATGACCAACCTTATGCTGGGGCCCACATTAGCTCCTTGCACTGTGGCAGTGTCTGAACAGGATCCTGTTACTTGAGAGCAAGCTGTAAGCAAGGAAGAGTGGCTGGAAAGCATCGGCATGCCCCCGTACAGAAACACAGTACCTGGTCTTCTGAATTTATGTCTGTAGCTTCAGTCCCTCAGCTCAATAAACTGTATTAAAACTTGAGAAGGCTCAGAGAAAGGCAACAGAAATGATCGAAAAGTATGGGCTGACCTCCTGTGAGGAACTCCTCAGCCTGATGAGGGATGACAAAGACAGGGTATGAGAGAAGTCTTTGAAATCATGACTGGCCTAGAGAAGGTAAATGGGAAAGGGTTGTTTAACATCTCTTTCGAAAAAAGAGCTGAGGAGCAGCAAATGAAATCAGGAGGTTTCGGGTTCAAAATGAAGAGGAGGAGCAGCTTTTTCACATAATACAGTTGAGCCTGGAAGTCCTCAACATGCTGTCGTTCATTGTGGCTATTTTACATTTATATCGATTCAACTACTAATTAGGCAAATCTGTTTGTTGTTTGTGTCCCCATTCATCTCTAGGAGATAAATACTGGGTTTTTAAAGAAGTGACAGCAGAGCCAGGCTACCCACACAGTCTGGTGGAGCTGGGGAGCTGTCTGCCCCGAGAAGGCATTGACACAGCTCTGCGTTGGGAGCCAGTGGGCAAAACCTACTTCTTCAAAGGCGACAGGTATTGGAGGTACAACGAGGACAAGAGAGCAACGGACCCAGGATACCCAAAGCCCATCACCGTGTGGAGAGGAATCCCTCAGGCTCCACAGGGAGCCTTTATCAGCAAAGAAGGCTGTATGTACCAGCAGTCATTACATCTGTTAGATTGGTAATAGCTTGTCTACCTTGGGAGTTGGGTTGTTGGATGTGGGATATTTCGAATATTTCCTGAGATAGGAATCAAGTCTCAGCAGTCCTAGGGTCACACTGGCACCTGCGAGCACCGGCAGTCTGAGATCCGTCCTGACCCTCATCCCAACCCATGTACCTCAGCTGCTAAATCACATCGTAATGCCAGCTCTGGTGGATGGGAAGGGGACTTTTTCTGGTTTTGCTGCCACAACCCGAGTTTTCCTGGGCCCTGATTGCAAGGATGCCGTAACTTACATTTTCCTCCTAGTTTCTTACCTGTACCTAGCTCAGTCACTCTGTTGTAAGCTCCAACCTGCCTTATGTACTTTGAAGTTAGCCATGCTCTGAGTAGTGGTTGGACCTCCAGAGGCTCCTTCCAACACATTTCTTTCTCCGATTTGAAGATTTCTTCCTCTTCTTCCAGTTGGGGAGAGAACTGACAGAAGGGGCTTGTGCCGTTGAGGCCGTGCTTAAATTTGGGGCTGCAGTGTGAGATGAGGGCTGGAGGATTGCAGTGAGAGCCAGCCAAGCTGGAGGACAGATGCAGGAGACCCAACGCTTTCACCACTGTTCCCTTCTCTTTTTTTTTTCCTCTAATCACTTGAAAGTGATTAGAAAAGGAGTCATCTGCGGAGATGAGGGGTACTTCAGACAACATGTAGCATAAACCATCAGCCTTTTATTAGCAGCAGGACAAGACTGCTCCTTAATAAAGACCAAATCTTCTGGATTCTGTGGCCAAAAGGACTCATTCAGCATCTGCTCCCTCAGGCTGGGTGAACAGAAACCTTAAGTATTCTTCCAAACATTATTGCACCCAGGCACACACTGTCATTCTGCAGACTACGTTAATTGCTTGGTAATGACGAGCACATATTTACAGATGCTTTAGTAAAAAATAACTCCTACAGAACACTTACTTTAAAGTTAGTTAGGGTTTGTTTTTTTTTTTTATTCACAGCTTGTCTTGGCCAAGGGGAATGGTGCTCTGTGGGCTTCTCCTTTAAATCCTAGCCCCAAAACCACCTTTACTTTTCAATGGTTTTGGGATGCCCTGGATGAATGTGTTTTACTGGCCCAGGCAGCTACCGCCTCCAGCCTTTCAGGCTCTGCACATCCTCACACAAGCACAGCTTATCAAGTTGAAAATGGTGTGGTGAGAAATATTCTCTGTTTTGTCTCCTAGTTTATACCTACTTTTACAAAGGGAAGGAGTATTGGAAGTTCGATAACCAGAGGCTGAGTGTGGAGCCAGGCTACCCCAGGTCAATCCTCAAAGACTGGATGGGCTGTAACCAGAAGGATGTTGAACGAAGCAAAGACAGACGCCTCCCCCACGACGATGTGGATATTATGGTGACAATAAACGATGTGCCTAGCACTGTAAATGCAATCGCAGTTGTGATCCCTTGCATTTTGTCTCTATGTATCCTTGTCTTGGTATACACGATCTTCCAGTTTAAAAACAAAGAGGTGCAGCAAAATGTTGTGTATTACAAAAGACCTGTTCAGGAATGGGTATGACACAGCCTTCTGCACATTTCAACTCATTGATCTGATGAGGACTATGGACAAAAAAAAAAAAGAAAAAAAAATGCATTCAAAAGCCTACTAAACAAAACTACTTCAGTGACCTACAAGTTTTGGACAGCCTGGGACCGAAAGAAGCCAGAAAACTGGAAAAAATACAGGCAGCCTTGCAGTGTGGAGCCTCTTTCCTTCTTACTGCCTCAGTCGCGTGTCAGTCTTGGTGTGCCATCCTCCACAGGCTCACTCTGCTAACATCAGAGTCTTCAAGACAGGTTTCAACTGACCTGGGAAACTTCCTTCAGTTCCCTGCACCAGTGCTCCCTGTTAAACCCAGCATTCTCCAGTGTAGCTAAACCACCTCTGAACAGAACCATTTTTTTAATAGCTGTCTCATAAATGAATTAAGACCATGAAATCTATGAACAGGAACAATTCAGTATCGTAAGCAGAAGACATTCTGATGCTGAACCATTCTAAAAGATCTTCTTAGTTTATTACAAAATCCAGGGAATTACCTGGATACAATTTTCCAATACCTGCTGGTCAGATGTTTTGTACATTCATAACTAATCAACGCTGCCACTCAGCACAGTGCATGAGGAACCACTAAGCACTCAAAGAGGTAAATGAGTGCAGAGCAGAAGCTCAAGAAGCACCAAACCAGACACCATGAAGTTACCTGGCAACATCAAGCCCTAGATTGGGACAATCTGAAGACAAAGTAATTGGGTCCAAAAAAACAATCATGGGAATACATGTTTTTGTTTTGGGAGCCATTCATGAAAGAAATATTTAAATGTCATATGATGTTGTTTTAAGCTCCCATCAGCAAGAAACAATGAACCAATGGTTACCGATATACTGAAAAATATGTATAGACGTAGACTGCACTCTGCCCTGTTAAGATGCTGGGGAAAGATGAATTGTTGTTATGTGGCATGTATAACTAGATTGTGGAATTTGTATGTTGGATTTCAGGAGAATGGAAATGTTTGTTTGGAGTGAGATCATCATTATGTTTTGCTGAAATAGTCAAGATACAGTAAGAATTAGGCCTGTTTATAAAACTAAATCCAATCCCTGTAGATGTAACAAACATTGTATGCCTTCGAAATGTTTTTTGTTTTTGCTCACTTCTTCACAGGCAAGTATTTGGCAAGGACCAAAGGAAGCATGCCACACAGTAGAATGAGTTCATCACTAGCCACATTTGACAGAGACATAAAAATCAGGTAAACGCTAGATAAATATCTGAACTTTTGGCTAGTAACTTTTCACAAGTCTCTTCCTACAACAGTAGCTTCTGCTTAATCCCTCTTACAGTTGTGAATGGTTTAGGATGTTGTGTCCTAACCACAAACTTAGTCCATTTTCTTGTTGATGCTGATATTTCTACCATGTTAAATGAGAGTGGAAGAGTTTCTTGCAATGCAATGTAATGGTGAAGTCCAGCGCTGTACAGAAGTGCCATTCATGTAAGCATATGAACTGCTTTGCACACTCACTGTAAGGAATAGGTGATTAGCGTAAGCCCTCTGCCTATAACTGAATTTTATTCAGTGCAATGGAAGTGCAATGCACAGAATGTCCAGTTAGTATAGAAAAAGTACAGCTTATAATGTCAGCTACAAAAAAAAAATCCAAGGATGACAAACATGCTAAAAATATTCCTAATTACTTTGATGAGGAATGAAGAAGCAGAAAGATTGTTAGCATTCTGAATTTCTAACTAGTGCTCAAATATTGCTATGGTGAAGCAGGATAGACAAATAGATACTTCTAGTGAAGCCCACTAGGACTGCATAACACGTGGTCTCAAACTGTATTTTGTCCTTCATAATTGATTTCCATAGCCAAGCTGTTTATTGTGTTTAAACATAAAAAAATATTACATATTACAAAATAAGTGAGAAGCTAGTAGATGCAAAACTTTGAATTTTAGTGAAAAAATGTGGTAACGTCTCATGATGGGTGAAGGAGTGCAAAGGACCAAATAAAATCGGAGCTATTAATTAGACACCCCCCACACATGCTACTCCGTACGTTGCTATGTGTACTATATATGTGGTAGAATGCACACTATGAACGCCACAGCCACATGGCACATCGAACTCATCTGTACGCTGCCATCTCTTCTGGGACTGTGACAGCCCAAACCTTTGAGCAACTTCCAACAGCCATCATTAAAAAAAAAGAAAATTACAACCTAGAGAAATGTCTGGTTTTGTTTGTATTTTTTTCCGCCTGCCCAAAGGTAGATTTTTGGCCTGTTCAAAACCCTATACTGAGTACCAAGCTGTACAGGCAGCACAATGCCTGGGTCTGTAGCAAGCTGAGCCATTTCCTCAGACAGCTGCGTATTGCCTTGCGGAGTCAGGCAGCCCACTGCAATAAGGCCAGCCGCCTGCCTTGTACTGCCAAAATTCAGCCTTCCTCAAAGAACTGCTGCTTCAAAGAAGCGGAGAAACCGTTTGATGCCTTTTCTAACTGCTTCGTAACTGGCTCCTGGTGCAGATGTTGCGTGTTTGAGCTTTCCAGGGGTGTGAGGTATTTCTGTAGGTGTTGAAGGGGCTGAGAAACAGCCCTCGACAGTTACAAGTGTTGGCACTGGGCAGGGGCTGGGGCAGGTAGGTGAGCAGTTGCCCCACTTCCCCCGAGTACAATCCCATCACTGACGCCGCTATCATCTCTCTTTTGTTAAGATTAGCACCTGTGCAGTCCTTCGGTGACCTGGATCCGGGCACAAACACCAGTATTCGCATAAGGGATAGTTCCTTAATATTCCCACACCTGAGCTCTTTGCTGGGATCCTGTATTATGCTACAGAAACACAGCAGCTATCAGCAGAGTATCGACTCGGTCTGCCTTCCATCGGCATGGCTGAAGCATCTCCATGGACAGGTGGCCGTGTTCCAGTTCCTGTCCAGAAATGCAGCACCAGGACATATTGCCACCACAGGAGAGCAGGTAACAGCAGTGCTATTCAACTCTGATCCCATAAGCAAGAGGCTCTTCTAGGTCTGCTCCCGGGCTGATACACAGGCACCCTGCAGTACGGGCCATTGGTACAGCCAGAGGGGAATCCTGGCACACGTTTACCTTGAGCGCAGCAGTTCCAGCCCCTCCGGCAAGCAGCCCACTACATACACTATACTGCACTCAACATTTTTTTTTTTTTTTTTTTTTTTTTAGTTTTTGACTACTTTGAATAATTTCATCACCAGTAAAGTAGGCTCGTTTTTCCAGGTAAGTTAGAAATGTGCTGGGATACACAATCACTACAGTCAGAACAGAGGTGGTCCTCCACTGTAAGAGGAATTAGTTGTTCCTAACTTATAATTAGTCATTAAACCTCAAGGGGATCTCCCATCTCACACAACATGAGGACTCAGATTTTTAAAAACCTCTGTGAAGGATCCTGACCAAAAGTTTTTGGACATTAAAGCACACTATGGCAGCCAAAGCTACACACCCTATGACTTCTTCACTGAACCTTGAGTTGCGAGACATTCATTCCTCCCTCAAAACCTCTGGACAATGCTTCTCCATCCTGTCACATTCATCCCAGGGCTTGATTCCAACCTTTCTCATAGTATCAGACTTACTTGTCCGCACAGCTATAGTTCCTCAGATCATTCCTGCAACCCTTCGTAGCACCTGAAGTCACGTGTTGCCTTCCACTGCCTGACAGCAAAGGTGGTATATAGCTGTGGTACATAACCCACAGCTTCACAGTTCAACAATTTCATTTTTAAGAATCCTGAGAACCCACGGTAGCAACACCCAAGGGACATACAACTTGATCTTATTGACTATTCCTTAACACCTTCTTTTGGCATTGCCGTTGGAGAGTGCCGCCTTTGACATAAAGCACGTAAAAAGGGTCAGTCAAGTGCTGCACAGTGCTTTAAGTGCCTCAAGCTGTGTAATGCCAAGGGCCTGCCACTTGTAATTCTGCTGTTCTGTAACCCTTCACCTGAGTTGTCATTCCTCCCTTTGTTTCACGCTGTTGTTCTCACAGTCATGGCCCTGCGCCTGCAAGCTCTGACCTGCTAGGCAGGTTCTCATGGGAAGTAATCACCAACAGCATGAGAATCTTGCTCCTTCTTTCCCCTGGCTTCTTTTGGAGTTTTTAGTTTACAGAAGAACCAAAATCTAATGAACAATGAAATAGATAAGCATTACCCAAAAATATGTATTTGCAGAAAAACTTGGCAACCACTGTGCAACATTTGCATCTAATCTACATATAGTACTCAAGATAAAGACGCATCATGGATTTACAGATAATGATGCTTTGTCTGGGCTTTATGTTCCTAATTAACTCCAAACGTTCAGTTTACTTTTTTGACTCAGCACATGTCTTTGTTCAAATACATACCTTCAGGCCAAGAATTTGCTCTTGCGCTGCTGAGAGTTCATCACTACAGGTGTGAAATTTGGATTCTTAACCACAACATGCTTCACTTCACGTTCAGCTGCCCTGAATTTAGCTTTCTGTCAACCCATCAATCATTCCTCATCCTTACTAGTCAAAATAAGTCAGTATGGGCCAACTTCCCTGCACTGCCTTCCCTTCACTGCCTTTCCTAAACAGGACACAATAATGCTGAACATCGTGGCTCCCAGTGGAGCTCCCCATGAAAATCCTGGAAAATCTAACCGTTTACTCTGACTTTTTCCCCCATCCTCAAGCATCTAAAAGGGCTTCCCTCTCATTCCATGGGATCACTCACCGAGGGTCCTTAAAAGCCTTTGGCACAAAAACCTGCTAAATGGCTTTTGGAAATACAATTAACATTACAGACCTTCTCCATATCTCCTTTACTCCTTTAAAGAACTCCACAGGTCTTTTAAGACATGAATTGCCATTAAAACACCAAGTTTATATACTCTCTCATGATATTATGTATCCGTGTTTCTAATAATTCCATTCTTTATTATAGTTTCTGTTTTCCTTGTACATAGGTCCATCTTACTAGTTCAGAATTCCCACAAACCCTTGTTTAGAACAGGTATCACATTTGCCACCTTCCAGTTCCCAAGCTTCGATGCAACTTTTGTAAGAGGTCACACCCCACAGTTAGCAACACCCTATTCTGCTGTCTGTCTCTAATCCTCTTTGGCATATCACAACACCCAACCCTCTCCTGGTATCTTTACTATTTAAGGATTTGGATTACACAGAGACTGGATTATTCTTCTTGTTTATCTCTATGCAATTTTTAACACGTAACACACATCAAGATCACCAATATAAACCAGGATTCCTGCCTATCAACCAGAATGAAAAAAAACGAGTCACAGAAGCTGCAGAGAAAGACTTCGGCCTTACTCATTTCACACTTCACGAATACATGCTAACATCGATAGCGATAGACAGACTCTGCCATTTATACCTAAGAACAGAGCCCTGGGAGGTGCCAAAGGAAAGCAGCTTCTCACTCTAAATACTGAGATATGCTAAGGAGAGAAGACCTGGAGTCAGTGCCAAGAAAGGTAGTCCACCATATCAAAGGGGCCATAAACACCAAAAATTGTTAGCTGTAGAGCTATGAGCTGCTTACAGGCTTCCCCAATGGCAAAAGGCAGGTGAGCTGTCTGGAAATGGCAGCCCCTGGCTCAGTTACCATTCTAGACAGACCAGATGGCAGGACTGCTATGATCAGAGAAGATCCTACGGCAATCCTTATTTAAGACTTTAAGGAGCAACCTTTAATCAACCGAAACTTATAAAACCTTCCCTAAACATCCAGACAGTAAAACAAAAATGGAAGTTTACTTAATTTTCTACAAAGCCTGAAGCACCAGGGCCAAAAAAGAGCTCTGCCCACACTGCCTTCAGGACAGCACTCCTCAAGAGAACCCAACTGAAGTAATCCAGCTGCGTGGAGGCAAGCAAGGAGCTTCCACATACCCTTAGGATGGGAAGTGGAGGCATTTCTATGCCTTCAGTACACCTTTAACGGGCAAGCAGAAGAAAAGCAACTGAAATGAGAGATCAGTGAGCAACAGCTCTGTTTAGAAGCAAATCACTATCTTCTACCCGAAAGCAGTATCTACAGCTCCTTTTCGTCATCACCACTTCCTCACAAGGACAGAGCTCTTAATTAGCAAACTCCCAAATCTGTAACACTTGACTGAATGGAGTAACTGGTTAGAACCGCATTACTTAACCTTTATCGCCACGGTAACTCAAGATAAGGTGGTTTAAATCTTTTTTGATTTGCTGACTTCTCAAGAGTTTCCCAGTGTAGGTGGCTAACTCCTGCAGAACAAATTTAAGCCCACTGGCAATAGCATGCTTTTCTAAGCTCTCTCTTGCAGATGCCTCAGAAGCAGCCCACGTGCCACCAAGCATCTGCAGACAACAGAGGCAGTCACACATTTTGCTGTTAGAAGCCCCTGAACTGACTTTGAGAAACTCCAGTTTTAATCAGAGCTGATCACTTCAGAATCATTGGCCCTGTGGGAATAGCTGCAAGAGAGCAGGTGATGACTTCTGAATTATTCTGTGGCAAGTAAACTACTATATTTTTGGTACTGGACATACAAGGGACTCTTAAGCGTACCTAGAGCAGAAACATCACTCTCTAGCAAGAGTGTGGAAAGAGAGGGCAGTGCCATGTATGTGCTGAAACAGACTGCTGTGCAGCAGAACACTGATGCATTATTTAAGGCAAAATAATTTCCAGTGATCAATATCCAAGAGCCACAAGAGTAAACATTGTGGGCTACTTTGCAGGGCTCATTCAGCATCACAAAACAAGAAAGCACAGCTGAAGAACTGGAAAACGTCAGCAAAGGGATAGAGAGCATTACTTATTTGTAACTTATGTATGTTGTCAGTTTTTGTAATAATACTTAGTTTACAAAACACTATGAAAAGTTGGTTTTGTAGACTCTTCCTTGGGCTAGGCCTGCAGAAACAACATCAGAAGGTCTAGATGTCTGTAATCCAAAGTGCAGCTTGACACTTCACTCCTTAGGAGCTTTCTGGAAAGTAGGAGCCAACACTGCTCATGTCAAGCTAAAAAGACAAAACAGAAAAGAGATTTAGCAGATGAGTGCCAGAGAGTGCAGAAGGCATTTCAAAACACCAGTACAGTCAGTTCTCAACCTCCAATTACAGAGGCCCGGTAGAAATTTCCCTTCCTAGAACATAAATGAGAAGAGGGAAGCAGACCTAGCGGCTGCCCACAGCCAGCCATAAGGACAGACTTGTCAAGCTGGCAAAGGCAAAATGTACACTCAGCCTGACTGAGGTAGTTATCAAAAGCTCAGAGCAAGTTTAATTATGGCTCTGTTATGCTCTGAGACATCAAGCCTTTATACAGGAACTGTGAAGGGGCAGCAAAGAACTCTTTCAAAGGGTTCTTCATTCAAGGAATTCCTTATTCTTTCCTTATGTCATAAACCATTCCCATACATTCTTACAGTAACTCAGAACTCGGCCACTAAGTTACAGTGGCCTAGGTAGCTCAAGAACACACCTCTAGCACCACAGCAATGATCGGAAGAAAAAAAGAGTTGTAATCAGATGAAAGCCCAAATGAAGTTCATACAGGACATTCATCTATACGTATGCCTAAACCTTGTAAAAAAATTTGCATACATTAATGAATGGGCAAGGTCTTATATCACTACCACTCCGGGCAGAAAACAAGAAAAGCTCCCATTAAAAGGTACTTGGACAAAGCCTTTGACAAAAAGGCTTAAAAAAATTTAAGGGAGCAGCCTTAAGCTAAAAAGATTTAAGGCAGCAGCAGACAAGCTCCAAAGTTTTTTTGGCTCCAGAAATGGTTGTAGCAGGCATTTGAAATAATAATTTTACGGTTACAACAATCAAAAGCCAAGATGTCTAGCAAAGTCACTGGCATTTTAACTTTTAAAACAAGATTTGTTTAAAAAAATCCATTCAGCTAAGCACTGAACAGCTAGGAAAAAAAGCATCTGAAAGCTGGAATGGATACTATTTCTCACAAAAAGTATTATAACTGCAACAAAACCCCTTACACTTTCCATACAAGACTAAGCAGGCTGATCAGCTACAAGGAAACAAACCCTTCTGCAACGAGGTAATTGTTGTCAGTAACCCAACAAACGGAAAGAGGAAGTCAAAAAAAAAAAAAAAAAAGATAAATCAATTGTGAAAGCAGTTAGTTTTATAGTAGAATCTTGCCTGTTTTGATCATGATTCTACACAGACCTGGATCCTTCTTACCTGTCAATCAAGGAGTCTCTCATGTTGGTAGCAATGGTACTTGGCTGAGCTTCGTTCAGCCTGAAGATACTCTCGATGACAGAGAGCTCAGTGCTGGTTGTATCCAGCCCACAGAAGGCACACCAGTCATTTACAACCATTCCTAATGACCTCGCTGCCACGATTCACCGTTCCAGCCTAGCAAAAACAAAGCTGCAAGAGTTAAAGGGGTATGCTGACAGCAACACATTTTGTTACACATCCTTATTACAAGTCTTTAGTGCAGGGCCTCAATTCACACTCCGGAAAAGATTAAAGCTTCTGCCATTAACAAAGTTATAAAGATTTCTGATAAAAAGATAATGGACAGCCTTTAATCTCTGGAGAGAAAATTGTGTGATATTCAGTGAAATAAAATCTAACAAGTAGGAAGCATAAAGGCATAGCAATCGTGAAATTCACAAATCCAATTGAGCAGGCACAGGATTTTATTACTTAATCTTTTTAAACACTGCCCGTGGCCAAACCACAGACAGTCTCACATTCTGTATGAATCAATCAGCACAATTTGCATAATCCCAGCAGAGCAATGTTTCAGAAGCAAATTAAAGATGCTAAGCAGCTTATTCAGACAGGGAAAACGTCTCAGAAGACTTGCCCCGTTCAAGTCTTCTCCTCATCTCCCACTTGGAACACCTCTGCACAGAAAACAGTATCTAGAAGCCCATGAGATGCAGAAACATTAAAACTGAGAACTGGGTTGGAAGGGAGGGGCAAGAGAAAACACAAACCCACAAATGCCTTACCACGAGTGGGACCTGGAGCAACGAAGACAGTTCATCCTGATCATCAATTGAAGTTTTGGGGTGCACAATTCCTCCTTGGTTACTAAAAACACAGTAACTTCCTACCAGCACCTGATCTGCTACCGTTTGTCTGAAAACCTCAACCTTCAGTACATCTGCCAAGATCTCTTCTGTCTCCTGCAAACAGAAAGAGAGAATAAAGTCCTCAGCAAAACGGTATCGTAGAACTGAAGTCAAGCTATTCCTGCACACAACCATCAGCTGGGATCCTCCCCTTTGAAAGCCTGCCCCCACTTTCACAATCCATTGCAATCCACTCATTATAAAATGCTTACTCAACCCCTATACTCCAGATGTTTCCAGTTACCTGGAATACTGAGCTGGGCCACTATAACTAAACACAACCGTGCCTTTACTGAGAAACACTCTTCTCCCCTCTTTCTGGAGGATGTTGGCAGTACATCAATTGTGTCCATACCTGTTCTCTGGGCATTCCCTGTGAACCAGTCTTCTTTTGTCCCAGACCACTGGGACAAAATTGTCTCACCTTTCTGTATAACTCTCAGAACTTCCTTCCCCTCCAGGTTTTCACTGTGAATTATTTTGATTTCTCCCTCTCTGGCCATCTTACCTTACTTTTTACACTTATTTGAAACATAATGTGCTGCAAAAACCATTACCTTTCCCCCAACCCCCCCTTTTTTTTCCTTTGCACTCCTAACACCAAGTCCCATTTCTTCATCACCTTTAGCACAAACTGAAAGCAAACACTATAAGGACCTTCACTACCTGTAGCCACAAAACACACCTCTCTCTAATGCTGTTAAGGTATCAGTTCTCAAACATAAAGTAGCAGCAACTTTGTCTCCTCTGCCCTTATTTTAAACTTTCATACAAGAACCTTCCATTTTTCTTTCACCCCTCTGTACACATGCACACCACCACATCCACGGCCTCTTTCAACTATTACAAATTCCAGCTAGCTCTGCAGTAGCTTGTAACTACTGCTGCAGTCCTGACTAAACTTGTCCTTATGCTCTATTACACATAAGAACACTGTCTTTTATTCATTCAATTTTACATACGCAAAGCAAATTGCATTTGACAATATACTTCCATATCCCGCTCCTTCCCTTCTACAAAGAGCATTCATTCACTACAGCTGCTGAACAAGAGGGCACAGACTATACTGGGGGAGGGTCCACATCCACAAATAAAGATAAATACAGGAAAAGAGGCAGATCAACTGAAACCAAGTCAGAAGTCCAAAATCCAAGTTTGAGACTTGTCTCTTGAGAAGGTAACATGAGGCAGCACAGCCTCCTACGTGACATTAGCTCAGCTGTTAGCATAGGTCTTCTGATCCCCACGCTACATACAGCAATCCTCAAAAACTACAAACCCAACCTGCAGCTTGGCAATCATTTCACGTGCATCCACTATGAGTTTAAAAGAGTTATAGAGCCGTATACCCTGTCAAGATCTGGATGAACAAGAGCTACATAGTCATTGCAGGTAGTGACATTGCCCAGCGCTGCGAGCCGCTCTTCTACTCGTTGAATTCGCACAGAATCTGGAAGGCTATTGCGGATATGTTGAAGCTCTTGGTCTGTCGTACTGCTCGGGACCAACAGTCCATGTCTGTTTCCTAAAATGACAAAAAAAAAAAAAAGAACGTTTCCATGGGGCTTCCTACTTTCCTGATGTTCACATAATGGCTTGAATTGTCCTTGCCCTATCCTCTCCTCCCAAGCCCAGAATTCAGCCCAAGAGAACTAACATTACCATTTAAAAATAACACAGCACCACAGGTAAGGGAAAACCAGGATGAATAACACAGACTTATCTCAGAGTAGAAACGGGTGAATGGTACTATCTTTAATCACTTCTCTTTTTCAACAGAACTAAAGGAAGCCCAAGGTTCTCAATGTAACAGTTTGACTAGGAATTTTCCCTATAGATGCCAATTGCCCCACAAAACGTACAGATGCCGCTTGTTTGTATTATTTTTCTGTGGCAAAGCAGTAAGATAGGATGGACAAAGACATTCTTTTCACAGGATCAAAACTGAAGCAAGAATTTCATGTGACTGAAAAGGGTCTCACTGGCTAGTGACAAATGAACGACTTTTCTTTGACTTTCACATTTGTTAATGCCTCCCCCCTCCCCAGGCTCTGCCCCACCAGTGCTGGCACTGAACCATTAACCTTAAGAAAAACGAAACTTCTCCCAGTTTACCAGAAAGCAGACTTACACGCGTCTTTAGCCCATCTTCAAGCCCTGGGAGGCAAACACCCCCCATTACCCCCGCTCTTTGCTACTGGGCGAGTTTTACTTTCTCCATTTTCACTCCTCTTCACATACTTGAAGCATTAAAATAAAAAACTCTGAGGATGCGGGGTGCTGCCCGTTGGACTCCCCGCCGCAGTCAGACCCAC